GTGCCGTGGCGTCAGCCTAGCTCACAGCAACCTCAAACTCCTGGGCTCAAGCAATCCTCCTGCCTCAGCCTCCCAAGTAGCTGGGACTACAGACAGGCATGTGCCACCATGCCCGGCTAATTTTTTCTATATATTTTTAGCTGTCCAAGTAATTTCTTTCTATTTTTAGTAGAGATGGGGTCACGCTCTTGCTCAGGCTGGTCTCGAACTCCTGAGCTCAAATGATCCACCCTCCTCGGCCTCCCAGAGTGCTGGGATTACAAGCATGAGCCACCGCGCCAGCCCAGCTCTTAGGTTTTAAAGCCTACCGTACTCATACAACTCAAGCTAACTCCAGGTTCTGACATTCCTGTCATGAATCACATAGATTTGGAAGAGTAAAGATTCTAGTTCTGTTCAAGTGGTGTGACATTCATCCCTTCTCAGTTTCTCTGCTAAAAAAATGCAGATTCTGTCTGTTTTATTGTATTCTGGGAATAAAATATATTCTCAGTTCTCAGTTGGTGCCTTTTCATCCTTTTTACCTCCTTATTCTTTGAGTATTGAAACGTATTTAACAGTACTTTTTCCAAACTTTGTTAGAACATATTTTGTTAATTTTTAAAGGTTTTCTTCTCATTCTTAGCATTTTTCCTTTGCTATATCTTTTCTTATGTTTATATATAGAAGAATACATGTAACATATTTGTAAGATATAAAGGATAATAGTATAATGAATACCAATGAACTCATCACCTAGCCCAAAAGCTAGAATTTCATCACCAACTTTGCATCATCTTGTGTTCTTCCCCATCCCATCCTGTCTGTTCTCTGTTCATTATCCTCATTCTCTTGCTTAAACAACAAAAAAAGTTTGGTGACATTATCTATCCATCTATTTGTTTATACACACACACACATTTTCTCTGTTGGTTCTTTTTCTTTGGAGAGCCCTGACTGATATACCATATAACCCAGCAGTTCCATTCCTAGCCGTATACCCAAGATAAATGAAAATGCATCCACACAGAAACTTGTACGTGAGTGTTCACAGTAGCATTAGTCATAATAGCCAAAAGTGGACACAACCCAAATGTTAATCATCTGGTGATTGGATAAACAATATGTAGTATATGTATACAGTGGAATATTTTTCAACCATCAAAAAGAATGAAGTACTGATGCATGCTACAACATGGCTGAATCTTATGGTGTATGATGAATCTAATGGTATATGGTGTATCTATATCTAGCTAGCCATATCTTCTGTTGGTTCTATTTCTTTGAGGAACCCTGATACACCATATGACGCAGCATTCCATTCTTACGTATATATAGTTATATATAGATAGAGATATCTTTATGTGATATCCACATGTACATAAATATAGATACCTATGCAGTATATATATTGAAATATCTATATAGAGAGAGAGAGATTGAGATTTACTTTAAGGAATTGGCTTACTTGATTGTAGGGGCTGGCAAGTCTGCAATTCGTAGGGTAAGCTGGCACACTGGAAAGTCAGGCAAGTGTTGAACTTGCAATCTGGAGTCCAAAATCTGTAGGGCACTCTGATGGGCTGGAAACTCACTCAGGATTTCTGTTACAGTCTTGAGGCAGAATTTCATCTCTGAGAAGCCTGTTTTTGCTCTTAAGGCCTTCAACTAACTGGATAAGGATCACCCACATCATTGAGGGTAATCTCCTGTACTTAAAGTCAATTGTTTATAAATACTAATAACCTCTTCAAGATATCTTCACAGTAACATCTAGATCAGCATTTGACCAAACAACTGGACACTATAGCCTAGATAACTCGACTTGAAATTAACCATCACATATGGTAACTCTGTGTTTAACCTTTTGAAAAACTCCCGGACTGTTTTTCAAAGCAGTTGAACTGTTTTACATTCCCACCAGCAGTGTGTGAAGATTCTGATTTTGTCTGTGGCTTGCCAGCCCTTGTTAAGACACAGATGTCTTTTTGATTTTTGATCCTACTGTGAAATGGTGTCTCATCATAGGATTTGCTTATTTTAATCCAATATTATGTTTCTGAGATTCATCTGTATTGTCACATATAGCTGTTCATTCTTTTTCACTGTGGTATAATATTCTCTTGTATTAAGGTACCACATAATTTATATTTAATTTATAATTATTCATTGTTGATGTTTTAATTATTTTATTATATTAATATTGATACATTAATACATCAGTGATAGTGGTTGTATATTGATAATATATTAATTTATTATATTTATTATAATAATTTGTTCATTGTTCTGTTGATTGAGTTATTTCCAATTTTTTGCTTTTATGAACAAAATATTCTCGTGCATGTTTCCTGGCACACATGTGCAAGAGTTTCTGTAGGGACTATATATAGATCTAGGAGTGGTATTGTTGGTCCGTAGGGTATACAATACTCAAGTTTATAAGATAATGCAACCCATGTTTTTCAAATATCTCTATCAGTTTGCACTCCTGTTAGTGTCTAAGATTTCTGTCTCTCAATGTACATTTATCCACCACTTGGAATTATCAGACCCCTTTTTGCCAGTTTCATAGGTTTCTCAATTTGCATTTCCCTGGAGGTTAAACATACTGTCATATGTTTATTAGTCATATGATTGCTCTTTGTTTGTTTTGCTCTGTCACCCAGGCTGGAGGGCAGTGGCATGATCATAGCTCACTGCAGCCTCAAACTGCTGGGCTCAAGCAATCCTCCTACTTCAACATCCAAAGTGGCTGAGATTACCGGCCCACGCCACCATGCCCAGCTAATTTTTATTTTTATTTTTTAGAGACAGGATCTTGCTATGTTACCCAGGCTGGTCTCAAATTTCTGACCTCAAGCTATACTCCCACCTCAGCATCCCAAAGTGATGGGATTACCGGCATGAGCCATTGTGTCCAGCCTGATTTTAATGCAGTTTATCATTGATGCCATGGTTTATACTTATTCTGTCTTAAGAAAGCCATGCTTAGATGGTTAGCCACCTCATTCTTACAGCCAAGCAAGTTTATTGTAATTTATCTCCTATCCCTTAAATAATTTGCTTATAAAACTCTATAGGGATTATTCCTCTGTGTGTAGTACTTTTTCTTTTAGATTTTAAACATGTCAAAGAGTGGGGAAAAAATGAAGAAAACATCGTAAGTTTCTTCATACTTAAGGCCTATGTTTTATAGACAGAATATATACTTAAATTTGACCAGTGAAATAATTTTCAACTCTTCTAGATGGCAGATGATAGTGAATACATAAAAATTGTGGCTTTACCAATAGTGCATTCATTCCTTCTGTAACAAAGCTTATGTTAATGAGAGAACAGAACACACAATTAAAAGAAATTCTGCTGGGTGTGGTGGTACACACCTATAATCCCAACTACTCAGGAGGCTAAGTCGGGGAGGATCACTTGAGCCCAGGAGTTCGAGACCAGCCTGGGCAACATGGCGAGACTCTGTCTCTAAATAAGTGACTGACTGAATGAATGAATTAATGAGCCTCTATTCTCTCTTTTAAGCCATGAGACACAAATGATAATAAAAATGTGTTTTTTAAATCTGGATTTAGGAAGAGGATCACCTAGCCCGGGTAGAAGAGGCAATCACCCGCATGCTTGTGTGTGCCCTGAAAACTGCAGAGGATCCACACAATACCAGAGTCTGGCTAAACCCTACTGAGGTAGGCCGCTTTCGGTTTTCGTTGTGGCAGTTAGTTTCCTGTGGTAAACCAACCCTGGCTAAAACATTCGTTATCAAATTTAACTCAATGTACATAACCATTCTAAAGGGTTTTTCTTTTTCCTTAGGTTGAGGAAACATCCCATGAAGTGAATTGTCGCTACTTAAATGGAGCTGTTTCTGCCTTTTTTGATCATTACAGAACATCCAAGGTAGTAGAAATCCAAGCACTGAGAACAAACAGAGAGCACACGAAAGAGGAAGAATTAAATGTGTACGACCACAGGGGCCAAACATGTAGCCAGAACTTAACCGTGGGAGCAGTAAAACAGGAGGCAGCAAGTACCTTTGGCCCTGATCTGGTCCCTGTAACACAGACGTCTGAAGAACCGCCTTCAGAAAGAGGAGGTATATTCGAAAGTGATGGTAAAGACTTTGTCGACAAAGACGGAGAACACTTTGGAAGATCGCATTGTGCCAAGAGGCAACAAATGAAATTGCACAGTGAGAATGCAGCTGGGGAACAGATTGCTTCAAATAGTGCTGTGGCCCCTTCTCAAACATTTATTTCTACAGATGACTTGCTGGACTGCTTGGTGAATCCACAGGTAACCAGGATGGTGGCACAACTTTTGATACAAGGAAAAAGTTTGTGATTCTAATAGAAGTTGACTATTTAAATAAT